ACTAAAAGTGCCACGGGCTGTTTTGGAAGAAGTATAGCCAGAGTGCTCCCTGGAGGACAGGATGGCTAAACTTTGTCTCTCATACTTTGGACATATTGTCAGGAGGGAACAGTCGCTGGAGAAGGATGTCATGCTGGGTAAGATGGAGGGTCAGAGAAAAAGAGGAAGAACCCCAACGAGATGGATTGGCCAGGTGGCAGCATTGATGGACTCAAGTGCGGCAACAGTAGTGAGGTTGGCACAGGATAAGACATTGTTTCGTTCTGCAGTGCATAGGGTCGCTGTGAGTCGGTTCCGACTCGATGGCACCTGATAACAACAACAACAACAACACCAGTGTAGCGCTGTAGGATCAGCACTGGACTGTAAACCACAAGGTCAGCAGGTCAAACACATCAGCTGCTCCTTGAAAACCGTATACAGGGCTGCTGTGAGTCAGAACCAATTTGGTGGCACTTAGCAACAACAACAAAATAGCTAGAAAAGGAGCTCTCAAGCATAATGGGTTACAAGTTGGGCTGCTAATGGTAAAGTCAGCAGTTCAAATCTACCAGGCACTCCATAGAAGATGAGGCTTTCTGCTCCTGTAAAGATTTACAGCCTCGGAAACCCAATGCAGGGATGCCATGAATCAGAACTGACTTGGCAGCACACAGCTACCACCACTAACCACCACCACTAACTGATACTCGAACCCACCCATAGGTATCTCAGAAGAAAAACCCAGGGGATCTGCTTCCAGTCAAGATTCCCGTCAAGGAAACCTCAGTGAGTAGTTGTGCTTCATAATACATGGAGATGTCACCAGGCCGAATCCACTCAAGGGAAATGGATTTGCTTTTTTGTTTTTTAGTGAAACTTGGCCTTCTGAAATGTGATCTGAAGAGCAACAGCATCCAGAAGGCCTCTCAACCCCATCCCACAAAGCCACTGAAACAGACTAAGCATTTTAACTAGGTATCTATGTGTTTCATTTGTACATTAAGAAGTGAAGCATTTCTAATAAACTCCCAGGTGATGCTCTGTGCATCTGCTGGTCCTTGATCCACAGTGGCAAGAATCTCCAGCATTTTTCCTCTGTGACCCAAGGAGTGGTTTCAGAAAATGAATGGGAAGCTCATTCTGGACTTCACAAACCTTATGATTAGGATAATCTAAGCACCTGTCTTTTTAAGCGGCTACTCCTTCCCAGATGATTCTTACTAACTGGAAGTTTTGAGAACCACAGAAGCACATTCAACTTCTGTGAGGGTAGGAAGCATTCTCAGCTTTGCAAAGCATACCTAACTAATTGTTGAAATGATCCTCTGCTTTTAGTCTCCATTCACTTAGAAGAAACAATATTACCCTTGAAAGAAGAAATAAAGTTTCTCTCCTTAGGCCTTCAAATAGCTGAAGATAGTCTTTCTCTTGCCTACAGCACCATTCATCATCTTTAAGGTTCAGCTTTCCAAAACTCGCTTCTGATCTTTCTCACATCCCCACACTGAAAACTTCCAGTTCAGCGTTACCTTTCCAAGGCAGGCAGCCCCAACCAAAGAAAACCTCTGATGAGACCAAACACAACGTACAAATGAGACTACCATCTACTCTGATCAGAACAGTATATTTTTAATAATGTACCTGAAGGCTACATTGCATTTTTCAAAAGCTACAGTCCCTGGGTGGTGCAGAGAGTTTGCATTGGTTGGACACTTGAATCTATTCAACATTGTCACAGAAGAAAGGTCTGGATATCTGTAAAGATTGCTCTGTAAAGATTGCTGTTGTTAAGTGCTGTCAAGTCGGTTCCACGGTGTAGCAACCCTGTAAAGGGTTTTGGAGGCTGTAAATCTTGGTGAGAGCAGAAAGCCTCATCTTTCCTCCAAGGAGTGGTTGCTGGACTCGAACCACCAACCTTGTCATTCAAAGCCCAGTGTTTATCCTACAGAGCCACCACACTTTCATTTATAGTCACTGAAATCCCTACGGAGCATGGGTCTAACACTTACACACTAATGTGAGGGTAGCAAGTTTGACTAGCTTTTATGTATCGTGTTTGTTCCAATATTTAAATTTCTGTTTATATACAATTCCTATCATTTATCAAGAGACCCACTGATCCTAAGCCTGTACGTATTTATTAAATGTAAGTGTAAGGCTTTTTTTGTAATGCAGAGAAACTCCATCACTGTCAGGTCAACCTGACAAGTAGGGATTTCTTGTCACTGGTTTTGAACAGAGTGAACAGTCTTAGATTCTGACAGAAGACCCAGATAGATTCAAGCTTGACTCTGTAGCTTTGCAGTAGGGCCTGAATCAAGTTCCTTAACCTTTGTAAGCCCGTTTCCTTACTTGTAAAATGGGGACATAGTAATACCATTTTGTCTATCACTTTGTCGTACCATGGTGGCTTGCATGTAGCTATGATGCTAGAAGTTATACCACTAGTATTTCAAACACCAGCAGGGTCACTGGTGGTTAATAGATTTCAGTGGCACGTCTAGAATAAGATAGACTAGGAGGAAAAGCCTGGTGTTCTACTTCTGAATATTCACCAGTGAAAATCTTATGGCTCTCAATAGAACAGAACAGTGTCTGACTTGTTTGCTTTTGGCAGTCCTCATGATGGATCAACTGCCAGAGGATAACATCATGTTTGGTGAAGCAGAGAATCAGAGAGAGCAAGGGAGACCCTTCAATGAGATGGGTTGGCATAATGGCCACAATGAAAACCTTGGACATGCCAACAATTATGAGGATGATGTAGGACCAAGCAAGGTTACATTCTGTTGTACTATTGCCAGCTGACAACAATGAACAGTTGTGAGGATTCAATAAAATAATGTGAAAAGAACTTCCTAAAGCATAGAGCTCTGTATAAATATGGGTTATGAATAAAAGTCATCCCCAAAGCTATGGGTAATCTATAAACTTACTTTCCAAACTGATGATTGATCATCACCACTACCCACAAACCCCCAGCCACACAAAAGGTTTTCCACTCCCACATAAAATAAATCACAGTTCTGAAATTCTCTGGAGGAAGAAAATCTGCCTACTCCACTTCCATCTACGGCCCCATTGTAGGTTTTCTTTTTTTTTTTTGCAGAGTTCCTGCCTCTGTCCACAAAAGAAGAGGGGAAGGATGGCATGAGAACCAGTGAAATTAAATACAAGGTGGTTCTCTAGACACCAACCACGTAGAACTGGATGAAACCAGAAAACGCTTCTAATGTTGCTGACGTGGCTGTCAGTGTTCAGATGGGGCTTCCCAGTTCCAATTCCTCATGAAAGAGGAACTCAAAATTGCTGAGGTTCTGGCCATTGGAACTCTGTAGAAGCATGACTCCCAAGCTAAGAGGAGCACATGCTAAATACATAATCTATCCCACCAACATGACTCTTCTCCCTGCTGTACTGCCAAAAAAAAATCCCTGAAGCGACTTGGAGATAACAAGTTTTCCTATGGAGCCCTGTGACCTTGCATAGACCTTCTCATGGGTGATAAATTTCCTATATGAAATTAAGTCAAAAGTATATAAACAAGGCCTCTTCATCCCACTTGTCCAATCTGAAAAACAGGAACCCAACCCAAACCCAGTGCTATTGCATTGATTCTGACTCACAGACACTATAAGACAAAGTGTAACAGGCTTTCCAAGGTTAAAATCACTAAGGAAGCAGATCGCCACATTGCTCTCCAGTATCCTAAATTGCCAGATTTTGACCACTATATTTTAACCCAAAACACAAGGAAATGTTTGCAATCATCACGAGACACCTCTATGAACCCCCAGATACATCTCCAGACACACACCTTTGCTAATTGGCATGATTTACAGATTCAAAAGGCTGAGGATTTTAGAAAACACATGATTTCCTAAGACATTAAACAAAGAGCTGTAATTTAAACAAACATACAATAAAATTAAGGATTAAACATACTCAAACAACTCAAGTAACAAACACCTAATATTTATTAATAAATTAGTACACTTGAAGGCATTTTTCTGATATCAGTCCCTCACCACTACCCACAAACCCCCGGCCACACAAAGGTAGTCCATACCATCCCTGCATTAGAATCTCAAAACTGAGCATTAGACGGTATGATTATAAATGTGAGCATAGTTGCAAATACATCAGACAAGAGTTCTTACAGCTGCAGCCATTTTTAATTAAAGTGATTGAATGATGAAGTAAACCCAGCAAGACCAAGATCTTAAGGACAGACTGGATCTATTTGACTATGTGTATACAAAAAACAAGACATCTTTTAAAAGCAAAGCTGGGCAAATTCTCTATGGAAAAGGTACCACTGGGATTCACTTTTGACTTTCCAACGTGCACCAATATATTCCAGAAAAGCTCAATCCCTAAAAGATAAAGGTCAAAGTCTTTTGTGGTCTCATTGGTAAGTCATTTTAATAGCAAATCCTGATGGCTTGAGGATTTCATTTCTCCATCCCAGAGTATATTAGCATAAGAGAAGCACAGTAACCAAGCATTCTACACAGTGTCCAGGTGAAAACCATACAGTCAGCAATAGTGTGGCCAAGTTTCAGCCATGAATATACATACAACAAGACATTAAAATGGTAACTCAAAATCTAGTTGCATTACAATAACTGGGGTTTTAAATTTTCTTAACCCTTATGAAAGTTTATAAGTGACAAATAATAAAGATGATAGTAATGATAATAATAAAAATAGGTGTGGATGGAGACATAAAGACTGCTTATAGAATCCATATGATGTCATTACACTCTTAAGAGTGTGTAGGAAAAGTCATACTGTGTTAGGATAAGTAAAGTGAATTTAAAGTGCACAGAACAATTTTCAAAATGCATAAGAGGCAAAACAGAAAAATATAGAACTTAAAAGAAAAAACTTTAGTGGTGGGTCTTTTGCAACAGTTATGCTTATAATTAACTTCCCAGAAGGGTGAAAAAACAAGAAAGAAAGAAAAAAAAAAACCCACAAACACTGGCCATATTTTCTGTTAAACATACACACACACCAAAATAAGAAAAAGGAACAATAAAATCACCCTGCCACTAAATTGAGCAAATTCCAGAGAGCAGTGCCCCTAGTGTTCTATAACAGGTCAGGAAGATGGCTATAAACAGAGTCCAGGAGGGTCTGGCTGGCTTCCTGGCTCTTGACTCCAATAATCTCAAATAGCCGGTCCAGTTTGTCTTCAGCCTGGGGAATCTCTTCGATCACGCGCAATTCCTCAGGATTCAGGATATGGAGCATGTCATCAAAGATAGGTTGCAAGTCGCAGGGGTCCAGACGTACCTGCCGCAGCACTGTGTCTTTCTTTTCTGCAAAGGAGAGGAGAGGCAAGGATAACAGGATGGGACTAAACAAGACTAGAATGTGGGGAGAATGACATGTGCCCTTCCCCAGCCGATTTCCCCTTTACCTGTTCCCTCTCCAAAACGAGTGAGGTTACCTATTGCTTCACTTAAAACAACCTAAGAGTTTTTGCTTGCAACACACACAGAAGATATCACAATTTGCCTAATAGATTATCAGACAAGGATCTGCTTAACTGGATGACTAATGAATCATTGACCTGCCATTTGCCTAGACTGAAATGCTTTCTTCTAAATTCTCCTAAATAGGAGAAGGAAAATTCTGAAATACCTAGAGAGGCTTGAAAAACAAATTATTTAAACTTATTTTCCTGTCTATAATATATTTCCTAAACAGAGCTGTACAACAGCCCAACCCTTTCCAAATAATCCAATTTCAAGTTTGGCATAGCTTATCGGACCACAATATTTTTAAACCAAAGTGCTGAGTAGAAATGAAAGCGCATAAATCGGTAAAAAGTTGTCGCATGTGTGATGCTCTACAGTGGGATGAGTAGTTGTAACTTTTATTATAATAAAAGATTCTTTAAAATGTAACACAGAAAGCAGCAAAACAGAAACTAGTATATAACTATATAAATACAAAATAGATTAATAAAATATACTAAGTATAGAAAACAAACATGTAAAATATAGCATATTTTATAAGCGTGAAAACAAAATAAACTTTTCACTAGGATGTTACTGAAAATATTCAACTAAGATATTTCTAACAACAATCTTTCATCAGTATGAGCATGCTAATTTCCTGCCGTGCTTTTAAAAATTCAGTGCGGCAAGCTGTTTACTAACTGTACCAATACATATTGTTAAAGCATCGTCATCTGCAACCTAGTTTAATAAGCAAATTTTAGGAGTAGTTTACATCATTAAAACCTGTACTGTGATTACTGGAATGGAACCTAAACTTCTGTGTAACCAAAACCTTCACCTAAAACACAATACAATATTTTAAAACACACATTCAAAACATCAAAAAAAACCTGTATTTATCTGGGTTCAGCAAGTCGTGTTAATAATTTTCAAAAAACCTGCCGGACTACATTTTATGAGCCCTTCCCTGAAATACGTTTGATAGCATCGTGAGGTTAAAGGGTGACCTATATATACGGCCTGCGTTTCTAGTTCTGTCCTTACTAGTTAATGGTGTGGTTTCTTCAGGCCAGCCTTAGCTTGGAGGCTCAGACAGGTCATTCAAATGAGTCAACTGCAACAGGAAAGGGCAGGGAGGAAGGTGAATTGAATGCGAGTTGTGAACCCTTCGTGCGGGTGTCTGTCTGTCTGTCTGTCTGTCTTACCTTTGGTAATAAAGGAACCGGTCCTGCTCAGCGCAGAGGAGCCACTGGATGTAGAATCACAGCGAAGAAGTGGCTCGGACTCATCCACGAAGAAGCCCTTGTTCTTATCCAGAGGGGACGGCTCCACCGTCAGGAGGGTGGAATTCTCCAGTTTCGTGTTGGGGCTGGGGATGGGGCTAGGACTAAGCGGACCCGGGAGAGCCAGTTTGTCAGTTTCCAGCTGCGGAAGAGAACAACAAAACGTTGTTTTAAACTATATACTTCGAAAAATTATAGGGGGTGGGGTGGAAACAAAAACAAACCTACAATGAAATCAAAACCCCTCCTCAGACACTAATTTTTGTTCCACTAAATAGTCCTACGTGTAAGTTCTCACATTCCAACAGTCCATAAATTATGGTATTGCTAGATAGATAGATATACACACACACCCATATTATTAACGCCCTCAAAAATATGTACGAGGGAATGTATGAGCTTTAATGAAGAATGTTATGTGAGAATTTGAGGAAGACTCATTAACAAACTGTGATATGCAGATCACAAGCTTGCTTGTTGAAACTGAAAAGGACTGGAAGCATCTACTACTGATGTGTGGATTACGCTTCAACATAAAGCAAGCAAGAATCTCACAACTGGGCCCATAAGAAACCTCATGATAAACAGAGAAGGTATTGAAGTTGTCAAGGATTTCCTTTTACTGGGATCCACAACCAATCCTTATGGAAACATAAGAAATCAAATTATATATTGAATTAGGAAATCTGCCTTTAACACTTGAAAAATCTCTAAAAAGCAAAGATGTCACTTTGAAGCCTAAGGTGTACTTGACCCAAGCCATGGTATTTTCGATCACCCAATACTAAAGGTCAGTTTGAACTGCAAAGTTCGTGGTTCAACCTCATCCGTCACTCCTCAGAAATCCTATCTAGGGTGGCTATGAGTTGGAACCAACTTGAAGGCAACAACAAATATGCATGGGGGAGTCTTTGTGTAGGATAAGCACTGGAACGTAAGTTCAATTTAAACCTCAAGGTCAGTGGTTCAAACCCACCAGCTGCTCCTTGGAAACCGCTCCTTGGTTGCTGAGTTAACAGCAACAACAATATGCATGGAAGGAGTTCCAGTGTGGTGCTGTAGTATAAGCTCTAGGAGGCTAGCCACAATGTTGGTGGTTCAAACCCATCTAACTCTCCTGGAAAACCCCATACAGGGTCTCTATGAGTCGGAACCAACTCAAAGGCACTTAACAACAACAACACATATGTATGAAGAAAACTGGGTAAAGGATAAGAAAGACTGAAAAAAATTATCCCTTTGAATTGTAGTGTTCATGAAAAATAATAAATATACCATGGACTTCCAGAAGAATGAACAAATCAGTATTAGAAGACATACAGCTACAATGTTCCTTAGAATGGAGGTGGAGAGTACTTTGGACATGTTATCAGGAGGGACAAGTCCCTGGAAAAGGATATCATGTTTGGTAAAGTAGAAGGTCAATGAAAGTGAAGACCCTCAACAAGCTGGATGGACACAGTGGCTGCAGCAATGGGCTCACACATAGGTCTGGTTGTGAGGTTGGCACAGGACCAGGCAGTGTTGTGTTCTATTGTACACTGAGTTGATATAAAGATGGAGCTGCTGACTTGATGGCACCTATATCAACAACAACAATGAGCACTTAAAACAAAACAAAACAAGTATGTATGCCAAGTTGTTAACACCATCTACCTCAGAGAAGGGACCTGAACACTGTTGTGAGGAGGAAGATCTCCAACTTTTAAGATATAATTTTGTAAAGTTAGAAGGGACTTTGGGTATTAGCTAGTATATTCCCATCTCTTTACAGATAAGTAAACCTAGACCTGAGGAGATGCAAAGAGACTCTGACTTAAGGACTTGCAATCAGTAATTGTCAGAATTAAGACTAAACCCCAGGTTTCCTGATGCCCATTTCTAACCAATTCAACAATTAAGTAAAACTGCTTAAAATAATGAAAATAACAGGGCACTAGAGGCAAACGTCCTGGTGTGGCGCTGTGGGCTAATGCATCTGACTGCAAAGTCATTTGAACTACAAGGTTGGCAGTTCAAGCTCACCAGCTGCTCCCTGGAAACCCAATATGGGTTGCTATGGGTCGGAATCGACTCAATGGCACTTAACAACAACAACAAGAGGCAGAACAGGCCGGAAGAGTGAGGACCACCCCATTGGAGTCCATAATCTCTGTTCTAAGTGGGGATCAGAGAGATAATAAACAAGTAAGCAAACAAAATAAGATGGTTTCAGATGGAGACCGCTTCTTATTGACTGATGTGTTGAGAATGAATAATTAGGAAGGCAAAATTCAAAGTAGGGAGCTCAGTTAGGATGTTCCTATTGTAGCAAAAGGTGGCATATATGGTGGCATACATGGACTTAACTATTAACCTAAAGATTGGTGGTCCATCCAGCACGGTACTAGAAAGCCCTGCTGATCTGCATCCATAAAGATCATAGCCTTGAAAACCCTATGAATCAGTTCTACTCTGTAACACATGAGTCAGAATCCTCTGGAATGGAACAGGTTGGTTTTCTTTATAATAGCCAAGGAGTCTCTGGGGACTAACCAAAAGTTTGGAGGTTGGAGCCCACCCAGAGATGCCTTGGGAAAAAGCTCTAGCTACGCAATTCGAAAAACTCCAGTCATTGAACACACTATGGAGCACAGTTCTACTCTGACACCCATGAGGTGGTCAGTCATAGCTGGAATCAACTGCAAGGCAAATGATAAAATGGACTAAAATCCTAGCTTGTACCAGGGAGCATATAGTAGAGAGGAGGAGAAGGGGTATGTGATAGTGCACCCATTTTAGAGGTGAGACAACTGAGGCCCCACAGAAGGCAGACAACTACTGGGAGACATTCAGTGTGCTAGTCAAATCAGCTTGACATCTCTGCTTTTCCCTTTCATTTGTGACTATACTGTAGAGCACTTGTGGCATCTCCGAGTCTGTTGATTTTACCTGCTTTTGCTCTTCCAGCATGGATGAAAGTATAGGGACCAGGTGGTCAGATCCTATAGGGCAGGGTTTAGGAAGTCATTTGCACTCTCCCCAGGGCTGTTAGTCATCACTCTTTAGAGCCCTTATCACTTGACTTGCAGTGAAATGTTTTCAAGCTCTTGAACCAGGAAGACATAGGCTAGCACTTCAGTTATTACTTTGGATGCTTAGATAAGGCACAAACCAAACACAATTGCCTTTTCTTTCTTTTTTTTTTTTTTACAACTTGCAACTGATTACACATTTTGAAGACCACTGATTACTAATCCTCCAACAGTGATTTCCCTTTGTACCGACACCCACACCCTGCTTCTGCTTCCAGTGTAATTTAAGACTTGAATAACACGCATTCCCAGCAGTCTCCTCCTGATCTATGCACAAGTTTTATGTATATGCTTTAAATTTTTTAATTCAATAGGCCCTGGCATGTGGCACTTCTCCATGAAAATGCACACAGCCATTCATGCCTATACACATTTCTTATTCACTCAATTAGACAAAGAACATTTGTCTACACACTGGTTCTCAGAGACATTACATTGGAAGACATGGTCAGTCAATATAATGTACTGTTCTTGCTTGAAAAAGAAATTCCCACCCACAAATCACATGCTAACCGACCATAAGAAGTCCACCCACCTATTTCCTGAGCTCTATTCAATTTTTACTATTGCCAAAGGGTTCCTCCATCAGTAGAAATCTCCAACAGAATTTGGAGAGAATGTTGAACTGAAGATCTCCTGTAATTACTCGTAATGAATCAGATGAATATGCACATGCCCCTAAGAATGGTTTTCACATCCCCACAAAGAAATTACCAACCACAGCTAAAACTAGATTCCATCTGACAATCATCCTTTCTAAAAAATCTATTCAGTTTAACTCACGTAACAGTAGCTGGCTGTGTTTCAGAATGTGCCCAGAAACTTGCTCCCTTTCTTTAATATTTACTCCTCCTTAACCTTAATATTTACAATGCCTACTGAAGCTGGTTCATAACATTGCAACACTATTAGCATTGTGTTATTTCTAAGGTCTCTAGTTGAAAAATTCAATCATTAAAATATGCAGAATAAATCAATTCTATATTTTATTAATTTTGAACGTTCGTGTTTCAGTATTCTGCCTTTATAGTAAAGGAAGAACTGATAAGAGATTTAGATCCTAGAAGACAAATATTCCCAGAAGCCAGATTGCCTAAGAAGAGGGCCTTATCTTCTTAAAAAGCTTTGAGTATAAAGTTATCAAAATATTCATAAAGTAGATCCTGAGTAACATTAATCCTTACGTCTCTTTGAGCTTTCCAACTTATCTACAAGGACTTATTAAATTTTGTAACTAGAAAAACAACAAATATTATTTTTAAGAGTCACCACTGATAAGAGTATTTTCCTTCTGCTAACTTGAAAATGTGGCTGCCACACTCTTGTTTATACTGGAAGCCAAAAAAACAGGATGGTTGGAAGATCATCCGCATGACTGAGTCCTCTCTGTACTTTGTTAAGTGTTCATGGACACCCCCTAACTTATTGCAGTGAGGAAGACATTAAGCCTTTATTAAAAGAACCATCTCTGGAAAAACTTGGCCCATCAAGGCAATGTGTCCACCAGACATTTGGAGCCCCTCTGGAGAAACTTAAAAAGTACAGTTCTTTTTGCTTTGTAGCCATGAGGTAATCATGCTAACTCAGAAGCTTGAAAAATGAGGTAGAGACAGTAAGACAGACCGAAAAAGGAGTGGCAGATGTGGCAGTGAGAGTTCCCCCAAGCAGCCAAACCTAGTACAGTATGGTTTTACTGAGTGAACTAAAGAGAAGGAAAAGCAGATGGTTTCTTTTAGCCAAATGAGTCCCAAATGATCTTTTGATTCGTTTCCACACAAGTACACTCAGTCTTTCCAGACACTGTATTTATTAACCTAAACAGATAAGGGAAGAGCGCTAACTGGTTCACCTTACTCCCCACCCCCCACCCCCCGCATCACACCTATAGCTTGGTTGCTGACCCACTTTTCTTTGTGATTACTACTACTACCATTGATTATAAGGAATCATCCAAATGGGTTTGGTGAATAGGGTGTTGCTTGAAGATTCCGGGTTTGAACGTCTCTGGGTTACAGAGATTTTACAGTGTTTGTGAGAACAATAATTTAATTTGCACTTGGGTTGTACT